TCCAACACTGGAAGTTTTTAAGAAGAGACTGGACAGCCATTTGTCCGAAATGGTATAGGGTTTCCTGCCTGAGCAGGGGGTTGGACTAGATGACCTTCAAGGTCCCTTCCAACTTTATTATTATTATTATTATTATTATTATTATTATTATTATTATTATTATTATTATTATTATTATTATTATTATTATTATTATTATGAATTGACCCTAGGTGGAAACCAGCTTCCTTTGTTGATTCTTATATCAACATTACTTTTGGTCCTGATCCTAGATAAATGGGGCAAACAGAGCAGGCATGCATTTCTGTGTATGTCCCAGCACTATAGCAAAGAGAATTACATTTTTAATATTTTGTTATACTACTTATTTCTAATCCTGGATAAAAGAGAGGCTAACCTTATGGCACATAATTATAATCATATATTATTTCTAGCCTTGTTTTTATATACTGAAATTAGTAGCCCCAACATTTAGTCAAAATAGTCTCCTCTTTTTCTCTTTTTTTTTACAATGCATTTTTTCCTATTGGTTTGTGTGAGTGTAGCCATCCTGGCCAAAGTCAGGGAGAAATACATGAGAAAACACTGGAACAGCAAGATCATAGTAGAGAATGATTACTGCCAAAGCTGGCAAGTAGAGTACCATCGAAGGCCTTGTCATTAACTATAGAATGGGGGCTTTAATAAGGTGGATCGCAACAGGTTCTCTTGAAATCTTAAGTACTGAATCTCTTCCTCATATTAGGATGAAAAATACAGGGCTGAGAGAAACCATTTATCTGGACAACAAGGGCATTGGTGGAAAATAGGTTTATTAAGCATGTAATAGTATAACCAGATGAATAAGATCTTTAATAAAGAACAGAATTTATGCTTCCTGGGCTGCTGAGAGGCAAGAAGTTAGTAATTGCCACAATATATTTTAAATAAAACATCCTTTCCAAGAAAAAAAAATGACCCGAGAGACAAGAAGTTATATACGCTGCCTAAATTTTCTAAAACATACAGGTATGCATTTAGTTATTTCTGGTAAAGACTCACCTGTGTTGTGTGCTTCTAACTGAGATAAAGAATTCACAGCCACTTTGCATAATGAACAATACAGTAATTTTTTGGCTTTCTCCTCTTCGGAAATGGCAATTGTAGTCCCATTTGTGCTCTTGGAAGAAACTGGCCACAAAGGTGTGGTTACTGTAGCTGCTGCTACTGCTGCTGCTGCTGCTGCTGCACTGGCAGACTCGGATATAAAGGTGACCGCTTCAGCCCTTGAAAGTTGGCTAGAGTCATTAGCTTTCAGAATTGCCCTATCTTAAAGAGAAGGAGAGAAAGAATGAATATGGGGCTGACAATTCTAGCAATACCATTCCAGCAATGCCTTGAAGCAGTTTTCCTCAATCTACGGCCTTCATAAAGTATTGATGCTATAATTCCCAGAAATCCCAACTTGTCAATGGTCACACTGTCGGGAAATTCTTGCCCTCTACACATCTGGAAGGCATGAGATTGCCAAAGTCCAATTTCTGACATCTTTTATGGCAATTTCTTTTAAGAGGAAAGTCTTATATTAATCAGAGTTTGATGGAACTCAACTCAGAAATCTCAACTAGCTCATGAAGGAAAAATGATATACCTAAATAATCAATGCCTGTATTCTTAAAATGATAATAACAGCTTTTGGATTCAACTACAACTATATGAAGAAAAACATCTATAAAAGAATTGTATTGGACAGAATAGGCCTTTCTGCTTGCCTTATAGGGGGTTGAATATTCTGAAACTTAGCGATAATGAGAGAATGAGCTAAACTGAAACAAAAATTAACATTTGAAGTATAGGCTATATGCTAGAAAATCCTTCCACTTTTTAATGCAACAGTCTGTCCATGTCACCTGCTTAAGTATATGCATTAGACTGTCCAGTTGCATATTTTCTTAGCTATTCTAAGATTGTTTCTTACATGGAATTTTACAAAATTAAAATTATCTATCCAAAAATTGCATGTAAAACTCAAAACCTTGAACAAAACAGGGCTTTGTGAAACATAAGTTAAGAAACATCTTCAAAGGAAATCTATCGGTGTTCCCCAAAAGAGATGGATTACATTGATCTTCTGGGGAAAAGGAGAATTGATCCAAGAATTGAAAAAAAAAGAAGAAGTTAACATTGTCATGCTAGCAGCTCTGTCTAGGGCAGGGGTCTTCAAACTTGGCCCTTTTATGACTTGTGGACTTCAACTCCCAGAATTCCTTAGCCAGTGTGCCTGGCTGAGGAATTCTGGGAGTTGAAGTCCACAAGTCATAAAAGGGCCAAGTTTGAACACCCCCGGTCTAGGGCTTCCCCATCACAGGAGGGCTTTGCCTTCTGGAGTTAATTCCAGCCCACGGGAAAACTTGGTCTTGCTTCTTTGAAATGTGACTCGATTCACAAGGATTCAACTTAGCTTATGTCATGAGGCAAGGGAATGTGCCTATATGGGGCCAATTGTTTCAACAGGATATGCTATCCTAAAGCAGGCCAGGCAAAAAATGGCACAGAGGTAATGTCACTGTAATTCCTAAGAGTATATATACTCCTGAGTATAGACACCTTGTGACCTTTCTGATTTATACTGACAGCCGGTTTGTTTTTGGAAGAGATAAAAAATGGACCAGCTGAGTTACTTCTTCCAAGTGACTGGGCCAAAGTTATTGAGGGCTTTAAAAGTAATAAAGACTTAAACCACAGGCCAGTTAACTTGAAATATCTTCTTCAGGATGGCTGTCCCCTCCTCAGCTCACTGAAGCCATCTAAGTGCTTTGCCTAAGGATTTTGTCTTAATGGCAGTATAGAAGCTAGGTCTGATCTAAAGTTACATGTGTTCTTCAGAATTTGCTTCCTTGATAAGGAGCTTTACTTAGCTTTGCGGTTTTTGTTTTTTTTAAATGGCCTTGAAACAGTCTCTTAGGCAAGCAGAATTTTAATAACTGATAATTCAAAATTTATTTTTAATACTGTATTCTTAAGTTTAGTAATCATCTTTTTATTGTCGGCCAGGAGACATTTTGCTAGTCAATGGTTTTATAAAGATTAATAATAATCAGTATAATTTATGATGCAAGATTGCATGTAACTGCAGCCATGACTGAATGTTCATTGTTATAATATCATTGGGCAAGAAATGTTGACCAATATATAGCATTTAAATGGTCTTGAAGGAAGCAGCATTAGATTTCCTTTACCTTGACTTCAGTTGAGCCACATGCAACCTGACTACTCTCTTTTAAGCAATGTGATGTTACTCATTTTAAGGAATGTGACGTTACTCAAAGCACAGAAGAAAAGTAAGAAGCAGTAAATAGAAGAAATTAAAGACCGAGGAGCAGAGAAAAGGAAATCTAACTAAATCTCTTTACACCCACATCATTTCTTTCTATCCTTGCAAAACATCCTCATTTCCACTACATGGAATTCCATGCACCAATTCACACATTGCATTGTTATTCAAATTTATTTCCATCTTTTTGAAGATATTATCAGCCCTATCCAACCATGACTTCTCACTTTTGTCTCTTCTTTCAACCCTTTTATTCTTAATGTAATTATTTTGTGATTTGATCTTCATTAATTCTCTGCATATTCTATGTATATGATCAAACGACTTCAATGTATTTCTTTCATACTAGTTGCTAACTTCTGGATTCATATTAACTCAGCACCCTTTAATTCTTAATCTTCTCTCTTCTTGTTTCATCAAACACATTCTGAGGTATCCTGTTCCTACTGCATTCAACATGCTGCTGTGCTTCTTCTGACATACCCAACTCTCGAATTCATATAATAAAGAGAGTATACACATACTTATACATAGCCATTTTTGTTTCTTCTGACAAAGGTTTATTCCTTGCAAAAGAACAACATGATATCCATTATCTTCCGATCCAAATTTGCACCTACAAGTTTAATAAATTATTATTTTAAAATTTGTCCTTGCATTTTCCCATCTTTAGTAAACACTCCACCAAAATGCCCCTTAATAATTTCTTCTTTTTTTGCCATGTATGTATAACTTCCAACTGTTCACATTACATATTTATTTAAATTATGTATTTTCCCTGTCAATACAATTACTCTGAAGTTTGATGCATTGGTTTTTGCACCCATGCTCCTCATTGCATTATGAAATCCATCTAATATTCACTGCAAACAATTCAGATCCTTAACCAACAAAGCACTTTCTGCATACAAAGGTCTGCACGTATTTATATCTCCAATCAATACACCTCTGTTGTCAACGTAGTAATTTTGTCTTATTCCATGCTCAGTATTGAATCATTCGTCCTTTTATTCCCATGCTTAATTTACTTATACAGTATAGCTGTCCTATCACATTCAGTAACCAACGTAAACTATTTGCTGCATAATTCCACCTTATTCATTTTATCATATGCCTTTTCTAAATCAATAAGCATATAGTAACTAACTTTCTCACATTTCTCAGCAACGTGTTGAAGAGCAAAAATCTACTCTGCATGCCCCCTGCTGAGCAAAAAGTCCTATTGCACTTCTGAGATTTTGCTCTTTATCACCCCATATACCATTTTTGATGAGAATTCTGCTGAGCACTTCCCTGACACACTTAACAAACTAATCTCCATTTACCATTCCTACTTTTTCTTTGTACAAGTGAACAATAACATTCTTACAATCATCAGGCAAAGATGTGGTCTTCACACGTGTTAAACAAATTGTGTAGCTATTCCATAAGCAAACCACCTCCATATTTTTATACTTCTCTGATTATATCATCTGCACCTACAGTCTGACCAATTCTGAATGTTCTCATTTAAGCATTTATAGCTTTACTTTTATTTATTTTTTCTTGAATGCCTGAATCTAGACGGACAAGAGTCTAAATGTTCCACTTCTTTCAGAGCTCTCCGACATTACAATCCCACCATATTCTCAACAGCCTTCTTGGGGAAGAAGGGGAGGTTGAAAATAGGGCTATAATTCCAATTGTGTTGTATATAGGTTTCTTCTTTAAATGGGAATAAACTAAGGTTCAGAGTTGCTGGAACCTTCCTCTTCTACAAATAAAGCCTGGATCCAACCTTTAATTCTTTCCTTGTCTGCTTTTACTAGCCAAAAGGGACAGTGATCAAATTCACAAGCAGCAGAGCTCACATTACTGAAGTCTGTCTACTTCCTTGAGATCCACAAGTTCACAACCCAAACAACAGTATCAGGCATTATGTTTTCCCATATAGAGTGAATACCAGCATATTCGTTAAATGATTGATCAAACTGCATTTGATTGGTCTTCTGCCTCACCTTCTCTTTCTGGTCCATTTTCTACCCTTACTACATTGGCTGGAATTCAGTAAGGGTGAAGAAGTCCTCCTCACCATCCTTATCATTTCCCTAGCATCTGTGCCACTCAAATATTTCATGAAAATAATGACATAGGCAGTGTGATGTCACAGTTCAAATTCTGTCCCTTACATACTTTTGTGAGACATCATGATGCAAGCACAAAGAGTAGTTTACCTTCTGACTTACATTGTGTCATTTGCTTTCTTATCCCACTGTGGGAACTTTTGTTCTAAATTATGCTATGTAAATTGCCTCTATTTTTATTAGAGATGTTTGATCTCTGAATCATTTACGGAGACTCTATTTACCCAATGTAGTACTGTAGTAGGGCATACTATAACAAGCTTTGGTTTACCTTTACCTTTGGTGCTATGCTAAAGATTCTTGATTAATGCTTATGGATGTGCAAAACCACAAACCATTTCAAGCATCTAACATGGCTGATGCCCAAACTGAAACATGTTAAGTTTGTTCTGGATATGGAACAAAATGAGCCTTCTTCTGGATATAGATAAAATACTGTTTTTTCTGAGCTTTTTTGAAGCTCAGTTTTTTGAAGCTCAGAAGGATTGGGGAAAGAATGGGAAGAACTCACAACTATTGGCAATGGAAGCTGAGGAGAAGAAAGGTTTGGAAGATAAGGGAGCATGTCAATGTGATATGCCATGATAGGATACTGGCAGTGGTGGCCAACGGAAGGAGGAACTATGGAAAAGAAAGCCTTAGGAATATTGGCTCTGTCACTCTGGGAGCTGTTAAGATAGAAGAGAATAAAAATGATGCACACCAGTCTTGACCTACTCATCCAGTAAAATCATTCTGAGCTTCCTTTTTGCTTGTTTTGTTTTGTGTTTTTCAGCTAAAACCTGGAACAATAACAACAAAAATGCTCTGGATTGATAGCCACAAGAATCAATCTGGCACAGCACCTTTTCTCTTGGAAAAGAATCTTTGCTGATGGTCAAAATCAGAGAATATGTTGCAATGACAAAATTAACACGACTGCATATCCATAACAAAAGCTTAATCAATTGAAGCAGGAATGGCTTCCTCATATGCAACACATTATACAGAAAGACAGATTTAGACATTTGGAATATGGTTTTTAAGAAATAAACAGAAGCCAACAACAATAATTAATGTTCATTGTAAAGCATAAATATGCAACTTGTGGTTAGTAAAAACTTAGTAATAATTCATTTGTTCCATTTTTATTATCTTTTATATTCTATTATTTAAGAATAAAATATTTTTTTAAATGTTCTGGGTTTTGTTTTTGTTGAATAGAAATATTCACAAAGTTTACAGAACACATTTTAGTTCTGGGATGAAAACCAAATACATTTTCCATTTTGTGTACATTCTTAGCTTACAGCAAACATATTTTAGCAGGATATGCAAATACACTCTCAGTGGTGGAATCCAATTAATTAAGCTTGATGATAGTGCCAAGGACAATGATCTTACAGGTATATTTGCTATATGTGTAACAGATTGGTATTTTCTACTACAGCAGTAAATGAAAATGGGATTACTCTCTGCAAGTTGGACGCTTTCATACTTGTTCTTTGTAGTCTGTACTATAAGAAGAAGCAGAGGCGCAGAGCGGGATTGCTCTCAATAAGGCTGGCGCACGCGAGTGAGCAACGCCCCTGCGTCTTCTTGAGAGCAATCCTGCTCTGTGCCTCAGCTTTCTTCTTTTTGGATGGAGAGGAGAAACTCAAGTGGCTGCTGCCACTTGAGTGGGGAGGACAACAAGGAGAAGAGCTGTCAGGATCTATGCCACCGGCCAGTCAGGCAAGGAGTATGTCGGGCTGGCTGGGGAAGGGAGGGGAGATTGTGGCCATTCAGGTGGCTGTTGCTGGTACCGCCACCAACAGCCTGGATGCAGGTGCAAGGGGACTTGCCCCACAATGCCTCCCCACTCAGTTGAAGGCTTTGTTCCTGCCCTCAAACTAAGGCCGGCGCACGCAAGCGAGCAGCAAACCCGGGGCATGGACGGCATTGGTTCCTGCACCCAGCCGACTCCAATTCCATGCTTTGCCCCATAGGCATTCAAACAAAGCAAACACTCGCCCCCGCAGAATTGAAGCTTCCAGGGCCATGATTCTTTTGCAGAGAATTTATATTTGAACTTGCGCAATATTATGGCACCCAGGAGCTTCCATTGTCGGCACAAAAAGCATTTCCAAGCCAACTCTCCTCTCCCTCAAAGTGAAAGAAACTGTGGCAGAGAGGAGACAGATTTTGCAAGGTAAGTGAGTCCGGCGTGACAGGAAGGGAGGGCAAAGCAGTTGTGGAGAACGGGGGGGGGGGAATAGGGTGAATGTTGCAGAGCCTCTGCGATCATTCATAAGGGCAAACGACTGCCGTGGTGCTGCAATATTCATAATTTTGGGACATGCTCGTAAACACTAGGGGGTGCTGATCGCGTAACTTTGAACGAGCGTTAAGTTGAACGCTCCTAATTTGAGGATTACTGTAGTCACTACATCTAATCTTATTACTTGCATTACAGTACAGCAAAATTTAAATCACAACTATCATTAATATTGACACACTTATAAAGGAATAATAGTATTCTAAATTATCTGTAGATAAAGTCTACTACTCAGAACTATGTATTAACTCCCTTTACTCTTGTATTAGCCCAGGAAAACTTGTGATGAAAAACTGGTAACACTGGAAATTCTAATATTGCAGCACTAGACAAAGGTTCTGAGCAACGACATAGCCAATGTTTCCTGGCCATGGGAGATTATTTGTAGAGGGTCTTACACAATACTCAAAGATGAATAGAAGTTTATTTTTTAAAAGTATGCAGTAGACTACTTCAAATAATAAATTTAATTTTGCCCAAAGTTCCAAGAAAAAGAGGAAAATATTGAGTTTTTTCCAATTCTTAATAAAAATGTTTATTTACACTGAAATCTTAAAACAAATAAAGCCATATTTAGCTGTAGGCAGTGTTTAAGGAAATCTGTTGTCCCTTATGCTGTTGAAACCTTTAACTATTTTATTAATAATTTCCCTTCAGACACTGATTAAGCAGATAAGGCTCGATTTTTTTCTAGTTTCATTTCTATTTTTCTATAGAAGTCACAAATATCGCAATAAATACTAAAACTCCCCAAAATGCAAGGCTATCTGCATTGAACCGTATCCCTTCTGCAAACATGCAATATGCTGGCATTTTTCTTTAATACTATTGACCAGAGACTACAAATTATGTGTATGTAAGAGTCCAACTTGCAGAGAGTACCTATTTTAATTTATTGCTCTAGTAAAAAAAAATCAAACAGAACTTCTTTTATTTCAAAGGAAAACCAAAACGATTGTAAAAGACCCTCAAGACTGCAGTTTATAAATACAGGAAGAAATAGCAGGTTCATGACCACTTTCTGTGCTGTGTACTTCTCTTTCTTGAAAATGTTGGCAAATCTAATCAGCAAGTAGATGGAAGAGTTTTAGATGACATGTCACTGGATCTCATATACTAAAATACTATATGTGGCAAGACATGCTTCTTGAAAAGTACAAGCCCTTCTGTAATCTGATTTGAAAATGCCTGAAAGGCCAATTACATCTTTTTCTATCATTTTGTCCTCTGAATACAGCACACTTATGCAAAGATTCACATTTGACTGAATCTAAATTCTCCTCCTTACTTGTTAGATTATTTTCTTAGGCAACAGTATGGCCCAATGTAAGTCTGTATCTTAGACCGATTTTCTTCTCCCTCAGCCTTAAGCTAAATCCTGCAGGAATAGCATCCACTCAAGCCATTCAAGGGACGGACTGGTCATTTCATGTGTCCTCTTTGATAGTTACTCTTACTTCCTTAGAAAACTCCTTGTTGGGTAAATCTGTTTTGTGTTTTGAGTGACAGTGAGTATGGGAAGTCCAAAGAAATCATTCTGTAAGAATAGTCAAAGATTAAGGTTTTTTTAATTTTAGGAACTTTAGTTTGATAATTTTTTTAAAAATGTAACCGAGCATTTCTGACTCCTGTAGCTGAATTTTTTAAATAAATATGAGGATGGAAAGTTTTAGTCTTTTTACCTAGACCTAGGAAGTCTCATATTTATACACTAGACCACAGGTCGGCAACCTGCGGCTCCGGAGCCGCATGTGGCTCTTTGAGCCTTCCCCTGCGGCTCCAAGGCCCCCTCTGCCATTTGCAGAGAGAGACAGAGACAGAGCTTCTCTCTCTCTCTCTCCCTCCCTCCCTCCCTCCCTCTCTCTCTCTCTCTCTGTGTGTGTGTGTGTGTGTGTGTTTGTGTGTGTGTAAAAAAAAGAGAGTGGACTCACGGTGTTCTCCAACGAGCTGAAAAGCTTACTGGGTGGAGCTCCTGCCTTGGCTGCATCTCTGCAGGAAACAGGAAGAAGGAAAGGCAGAGAGAGCTAGCTAGCCCAGCTATGCTGGCTCAGAAGTTCTGGAAGTTGAAGTCCATGAGTCATAAAAGAGCCGAGGTTGCCTACCCCTGAGCTTGTTGGAGAACAGCTTGAAGCCAGCTTGCCAGGTGAGCAGAAGATTGGAGAGAGGGAGAAGGGGGGAGAGAGAGAGAGGGAGAGAAAGAGAAAGGGAGAGAAAGAAAGAAAAAGAATGAGAGAGAGAGAAAAAGAAAGAGAGAGGGAGAAGAAAGAGAGAGAGGGTGAGAAAGAGAGAAAGAAAGAGAGAGGGAGAGGAATATATATATAATGGTAAAAAAGGATATTTGCAGTGTTATCTTCATTTTAGATATCAAAAGGGTTTTTGTGGCTCCCAGTGTTTTGTTTTCTGTGGGAAATGGGTCCAAGTGGCTCTTTGAGTGTTTTGGGTTGCCTACCCTTGCACTAAACTGTTAGATACACAAACCTGATTCTTCAGGAAGGAAAAATAAAAGCTTTGGAAAAGGGGATGTCCTTCTCTAATTGATACTCCCCAACCTTAAATTCTCATATGTACAAGCTAAGGTTCAGTAATTCTTAAAAACAGCATAAAGTGGCCTCAGAAATACTTAAGAAAAGGTGACCTAAGTGGTCAATTTGGAAGTGCAGCTAGACCTGCTGATTATCCAAACATGTAATTAATGCTTGATGAGCTTTAGCTATTGCTTGAAAGGGGAGGGGAAATGAAGAGAGAAGAATGGACTACGGCTCAAGTGACCACGCTGGCTGGGGGATTCTGGGAATCA